CTCGGAAATATCGCGACCTTTCTTTCATCTAGCACGCGATCACGATGAGCGACTCCATAAACTGCAGTTGTAATAATTGTACCACGTGAGTTACACGGTGCTCATGCATTTTAACCTGTGCATTCCACGACGACAGGTGCGTGTACAAGACGCTTTTCATCATAAGATCGCGTAAAGTTGACAAGAGTCAAACGAGGCATGAAACATCGCAAAGACAGCGGTCCAAATTTCGTGTTACAATCCTTTCGAACCGTGTCCGCCTTTGACACAATTTCACTTTCTCCCTTCATTTTAGTCTCGATCGCGCTTGATTAACGATGTTTCAAAATTAACGATATTTCAAAATTAAATGAAATTTTCTGTGGAAGATTTCAAATGTCACAAAATTCAATTCTTTGATTTGAATTCTTCTAAACGAAAATTTAATTGAGTCCGTTTTGCTTTTTTGATGTGGAGAATTAGATCTTGTGATTAGTCTTGTGATAGCTGTCCTAAATTCTATTTTTAAAAAATTTAACACTTGTTAAATTTTAATTGAAAACTTAATATATTTTTGTTAGAAATTTCTTACTTATAATTTAAATTTATGAATAATTGTATATGTGCGTTAAAAATTGATTCCGGTATAGTCTTGGTCATTGCATAACTATTCTATTTTTGTATGCAACATACTTCTTAAACTTGCTACTCAGTCACACCCGTTCTTTTTGTTTTGTACTACTTTCTTGTAAGACATACGTTGTTATCTATTTTTCTTTCATTTTTCTGTATAAGTTTTTCTTTATATGTTTTTCTTTGCATTTACTATTTGTTGTGTATACTTATATATCAGATACAGTCTTGAGGTTTACTGCTCTTCTTCTGCTTTCTCTCTCTCTCTCTCTCTGCCCTCTATTTTGCCTCGTTCTCTTTTCATTTTTCGTGTTTTTCGTTCAGCCTCTATTCCCTCGCGCACGTGGACACACACGCCTGCATCCGTCCGCGAAGTTTAGCAAACGACATGGCGTGTCCTACGGTCATAAATCATCTTTCCTCGCGCTATCGTCGCATCTCGTGCGTTGTCAGCATGCGTTTGCAAGGTTCACCACCGTTTCTTCCGCTGCTTCCGTCAGCTCCGTGCTAACGCCGCCGCAGAGACGTTCCCATACATAAAAGAATATCTAAAGTCTTGGATCATTGTTAGCCGCCCTTCGATTTATAATGACACTGATGCTGAAATAATGACAAAATTGATTGATTCGTGATTAAAATATAATCTAAAAGAGAAAAGACAGGCTAGATATTCAGCGGATATTAGGAATGCTAGCACGTGAAATATTTGCGTATACTCGTTAATGTAGTAGTATACTCGTAAATATAATATAGCTGTTTATAATTGAGATCAAGTCAGTGATTAAGTATGTGTACTACAGCTTCGTCAAATATATAGGTATATACCAGTGATATATATTAGTGATTGGTGGAGGACAAATAAAGAATGACGTGGTTGAAATGAAAAAGCTTGCTCTAAATTATCTAAAACTATTGTACTTAACAAGTTACAACAAACGATAGGCAAAATTTTATATATAAATCTTTTTGATAATTTGATTTCAGATAATCCTTGGGAGAAATCTTGGAAATGAAAATCCAGTAAGAATCGACGATAGAGACATCATTTAAGATTGAAATGAGATTATAAAATCACTTATTTTAGATGCCTAGAAATTAAAGAATGTTAATCGTGAAGTTTAACGAAACGTTTTTTTATTGTATTATCTTAAGCGGCGTCTACAATGAGATTTTATCGCGTAAAACTTAAGCTTTAAGCTGTAAGAAATTGACCAATCATAGTCGAGTATTCTCGTCACGTTCGATTGTGATTGATCAATTTCTTAACGGCTTAAAGTTTAAAGCTTAAGTTTTACGCCTTAAAATTTCATTGTAGACGCCGCTTTAATAAAAAATTAATACTTTTAATTTTTTTAATATATTGTTTAAAATATGTATGTTATTTCCTTTATTACATTGAAATTTTATAGTAAATTATTAACAGCATGAGGCGTCAAGTGAGACTTGTCTCTCAGTACGATTGACTCGCGATCAGTATAGATCCGGATTCAATCTTACCTGCGCTTACGTACGCAATTTTTCGCTTTTAACCCGAAAATAGTTCCATCTGGTGATTAAGAAATCTTTTGATCACCAGCACCGTTCGGATCCGGGTAAACCGTAGAGCTCATACGTGTATCAGTGGATATATGTATGGATCCTCCAGGCTGGGGATTGGACATTAGGCTAACAACTTAATTCCGGAAAAAATTCATTGTTACTGAAATCTCATTAAAAGCCTTATGCTCCACACAGGAGTTAAAGGAATATACATATATATATTTATATATATATTTTTTTTTTACAGCATAGCCCCAAGCAAGTACTGTTTTTTGACACTTTGGTATGCCTTATTTTTATCTACGATTTAATTATTTAATAAATTTTTAATTGCTTTTACGTTTTGTTTAGCAAAATTTTAGAAAGACTAGGAAATTTATTTTTGAGCATCCAAGGTGGCCTAACCCCTTAACCAAAAGGAATCCATTAAATATCTACTGGAAACATGATAACGATGATTGGCGAATGAAAGAGGAACAAAATATAATTGGCATTCTTGCTAGAAAACAAGAAGAAAGAGACCACATTTTACCAATATATAAGAAGGCATAGGATGAAAAGACATGTGATGAAAAGATATGACGTACTCGTGATCGCACGAATAATTAGCGTAATCGTAGAATATGTTTAGGCAAAATTTTTTGTGTTAATTTAAATGGCAATTAGCGCCATATATATAAAATGCCATCCAGTTCAAGATTCGTTGACCGTTCACCTTGAATCGCTTATGAAATGAATCGACGTTGATTCAACGCTTGATTCTAATCCAGTTGCATTGACCCCATTACTAAATATTATAAGTGCTGCGTATTAATAATAATAACGTTATAAATATGTTGTGACAATATAATGTTATATATAATAATAACGTTAAAATTATTATGATCGTTAGCGTTTTCGCACCGTTGTTTATTATTTTTAGGTGTATTATATCAATCGATGGATGGAAATATTAGTTTCGATGCGTAAGAGGATTATTAGCGATTACTGGAATACTACTCGCAGCATCTTTACGTTGCGGTCGATAGAAAGGACGAGTAGGAGAGGAGCTGCTAAGTGTACCGTTACTGTAAAGTTTGGCGTAGTTCTGCCTACGCCGAAAGTTATCTAAACGAAGACGAAGAGGAAGAGCGAGAGAGAAATGCGGGAAGAGAAAGAGAGATCCACCGATTTAGTCGAGAGCGAGAAAACCGGCTACAATAAAACAAAGAAAAAGAGCTAGCCTGGCACGGATATAGGAAGAAGCAACGACTGCTTTTCGGTCTCGCGAGTACACGCTCAAGAATTCATATTCCTCCATTCCTTTTACGCGGGAAAGAAAATTCTCCGTTAATCTAACATGGAACGAGTAGAATCACGATCGATTTAAATATTTGATACCCAGATTAATTGTAAGCAGAAATCGGGAGATTGAGTGGCTTAGCAACTCGGCTAAATAATTGGCTGTTTTTTTTTTTTTTAATGTATACACGATGAAATACTCAAAAATCTTTTGCTGATGTGTCATAAAATTTAGCTAGATACAAATTTGAAAATAATTTTGTTAGCCCATCAAAATATGTAATCTCAAGCTTAGGAATCTCAAGCATGATAAGCAATGCTGGAAAAAGTTTTGACAGTTCAACAAAATTATCTTTCGATCCGCATCTATCTAAATTTTAGATACTTTATTTTTTATGATTTCATTTATATGTATAATATAAACAATCAATAAAAACATTAATTGTTACTAATCAAAACTACTAATGTTGAGTCATTGGCGCAACCGGGCTACTTACACTCGCGAGTTCTCGATGTTCTCAATTCGGAATATCGGTGCATCTCGCGACTCTGCTTTAACGGAAATTTCATTTGAGACTTACTTGCCAAGAAAGTTAAGACTGAGAGGTTGGGAGACATTTCGGGCGGAGAAGACATCGTCTTCAAATTTATCAAAGAGAATACTTGTAAAATATTTTCAGTCTCGAGCACCTGTATAATTACTTTTAAATATGATATGTAATTACACAACGAGTAAGAGTTTAATGCTTATTATGATCGAAGCTGAATCTTAGATGGTTTTAAATAATTTCTATGTGAATTTATATACTAAATATGTAGTTATTTGAACTGCGCGCCGAAATGATTTTTCAAACTACTATCTGGCATCCTATTAGAAAGATGTTAAATGTACTGAAAAACTGTAAATAAATTTATTGCGAAAAATATTACCTCGACCAGGGTCAAACCCGAATCTCTTGTATTCCGTATGAGCGTCCTAAGCTTTTAGACAGTTTAGACCTTACCGAGGCCTTAGTAATATTCTTTACAATAATCGATATGTAGGAACAAAAACGCAGTTCAAATAACTACATATGTAGTATATAAATGTACATAGAAATTATTTAAAAGCATCTAAGATCCAGCTTCGACCGTAAAAAATGAGCATTACTCTTACTTGTTGTGTATTATACGGTCTTAATAAATCGTTTATATTGTTTATCCACACTGAAAAATGCGTTATTAGTCCTACATATCGATTATTGCGAAGAATACTACTAAGACCTCGGTAGTCTAAAGGCTTAGGACGCTCGTATGGAATCCTACAAGAGATGGTCCTGGTCCCGAGGTAATATTTTTCGCAATAAATTTATTTACAGTACATGCATTAACATCTTTCTAATAGGATGCCAAATTGAGCGTCAAATTATTAAATTGCTTATTCATTTAATTTGTGACATTACTATAGTAGTTTGATTGCGTTTATAAGATCGAAAAATCATTTCGGCGCGCAGTTCAATAACTACATATTTAGTATATAAATTTACATAGAAATTATTTGTAAGCATTTAAGATCTAGCTTCGATCGTAATAGGCATTAAACTCTTACTTGTTGTGTATTCATATTTACGATCTTAATAAATCGTTTATTATTATATATGTAATTGTTAATTGTTGAGATAAAAGTCTTAATTCATTGGTGTCAAAACAAAGAAAAAGAATAATAAAACAAATGCTCGCTTTGAGAGAAGATCGAGAAATTTGCAATGAATGCAAGAGAAGTGAATACGTATAAAGATCGATGAAATTTGAATCAAAGTTGATGAGTCCATTCTTCCGGACAAATGCGATAGTATAGAATAGGAGAAGATTCTAGCTTTTCTAGTCTCTCACTTCGCTTCGCCCTCTTCCTCTTTCCCTCTGTTTCTGTTTGTTCGTACCGGTTAGGGCTAAATCGATTTCCGAACGCGCTGCTTCGAATCGGTAGAATCTAAGCTTGAAAGAAGCTTATACTACAATCGGATAGAACATGGTATCACTACGAAACGTGGGCGTGTAGTTGACGACAGCTCGGACCAGAATTAACGCGTATATGGTTGCGTGAAACGCGGGATGGCTGATGAGGCGAGTTCGTGTGCGACAGAATTATGATTATTATAAATAAAATTTCAGTCGCGTCCGGATAAGAAAAATGTCTGTTGCGTTGTATAGTTGCGCAGTTCGAATAAACGAGGATTTTAAAGACAAGGATTCAAATATCATGTGTTTTCTATCGGTTGGATTACATTAAAATAGAAATACAACTTTTAACAATCGCACAGTGGACCAAGAAATATAATTCAAAAACAAAAATGTCTATCTAATAATAAAATCGAGAAAGGATCTTAAGCTTTAGGAAGCGGATGAGAATGAAACCTCAAAGCAATATAATGACCTACTATAGAGAAAGCTTTGGATGCACCATGGTGCTTGGGTTCAATAGGAAACACTACTTCTACGATAAGGCGTATATTCTCCATGTATATTACATCGATTTTATCTTAGGAGCCGAGAAAAAGATTTAATTTCAAGGACGGGAAAGGAGCCGAATGCGTATAATGACTTAATAGAGAAAATACGCTCGGGAAATTGGGACAAAAAAGTAATTATTTCGAGTTCTGAATATACAACGTTGGCATATATTATTATAGCGACACTCTGTGAATTTCGTGTTTTTGATATATCTACTATATTACCGATAAGTAGAAGAAGTTGATACGTACTTTGCGAAAAATTGTAAGCAGATAAGTATATGGCGCAAGGACATTTTGTAATAAAAAACATTAGCACTATCTCTGTGTATTGGATTGACATATTAAAAAATTGTTGCATTTATTTGTAGCCACAAAAGGTTTACAATGCAAATTGCAGAGATTCAAATTGAAAAAGAACACGAAGAAAAAGCGTAAAATTCACGATCCTCGGTAGACGTGGCAGACGAAAAAGACTTTCACATAAAAATCGCACAAATTAATTTATTACGCAAACAGATGCGCTGAAAGAATGTAAGTTGCTGCCAAATCGATGATCTTCAAATGGGATTGACCCTCCGTATGCGTACTTTCCATGCAATTTTTCACTCTCTACTAGTCGCTCGCTGATCGCGTTCACGAGCGTCACGTCTCTGCGTTGAAACCACTACCCAGTTCCGAAGTACGTATTACGAGAATGTGTAACAATGATGTCGATGGAGCCTTAATGGACGCGAGAGCACATCGAGATCGAAGGGAAGCTTGCGAGGACGGTCAGACCTGAAAAGAAAGAAAAGGCTTGGCTTCAAGCGTGCGCGTTCTCTGCTGCTCGCGTCTTGCAACCGAGCGGAACTTGATGTGCTTTCTCTTCGATACTTTCTCGGAGAGCCGTCGCGTCATCTTTTCTCAGCGCGACACGACGCGACGTGCCGCGCCATTCCCGATAAACCATACGCGGAAACTACTTTTGTGTCACTCGTTGCTGTTAATTAATAACCATTACGTTCTTCGATTAACGATTTCGTTCCTATATTTATATACCGCAAATGAACGATTTCCATGATTTCCATGATTTCCATGTTTTTTAGCATCGTGTAACAGAAACGAAACGGCCTTTTATTACGGCAAAGACTTAGTTTAGCGATTGGCAAATGATCTCAGTCATGGACGCAGGTTCAAATATCAATTAGCTGCTGCCAATTCACCAGAGAATCGGGGCGTAAAGCAAGAAAATAGTATTGTATATATACATTTATTCGTCGTAGTCGCGATCTTAGCGTTGCGGCGGCCGGTTTGTGTAAAGTCGAGGCGATAAACGTAAATAAAAGAGAATGGCGGGGGGGATTAAGGAAAAAAAAAAAGGATGGAAGATAATAAAGGAAGGATGGAACGTATTATCTCGTCTCACGCGCGGGAATGATACGAGCGAGTAGAATAGCGGGTAAAAGAATAGGGAGAGAGGGAGAGAGGGAGAGAGTCTGCGTGTATAAGATGCACTAAAAAAAAACGGAGACGATGACTGTAGCTACGAGACAAAAAATGAGAATCACTATGTACAATGTGAACGTTTAAACGAGTTCCGATACACTGTAAAGGCAGACGGCGCATTCGTGTATACTGAACGGTAATTAACAGTGCAAGAAGAAGAAGAAGAAGAAGAGTTTCTTAACCGGTTCACCACCGATATGAAAACGAGTTTCTCGGGATTATGTGTATTTTCTCTATGTAACCCTTTATGCAGTTTATCGAGGTGATACATGGCCTGGTCGTAATAATGTAGAGATTTTTTTTTACGTTGCATTGAATTAATGAAGCGATCCAGGATATTTATATACATTTCCGACCGTAGTAAATCTTACGTCAAAGTAATCTCGTTTACTATTAACCGTAATATATTTGTTACAACATATCAATACCTCGGACTTTGCGTAAATAATGTACATCTTTCTACTCTTCCTTCAGGCCTTAAAGTTTCTTCTCAGAATTAAAGACGTGATTTCCGAAACTTATACATATATAGCGTATTTTCGATACGATTTAATTTCTTTACTTAAAAAAATGATACTTGGAAAATGTGATTTTCGTATTATTACCATGAATAAACCACGAGTTAACTAAACAGTATTTATCAATCGTTAAAAGTGAACTAATTAACTTAACTTTATAAAAAAATCACAAAAGTTGTCACGACTCAAACAGGGTATATAGTTTAAAAGAATAATTGTCAAAATCGTCAGAACTCAAAAGAGTGGTTCTTTTTAAAAATTGAGAAACAAAAATTACATCTCATCATCAATATGATCGAGGCTAGATCTTGAAGCCTAATAATATTTTTATACGTAAAAATTCTATAAAAATACATCTTTTAATTATATATACCTATAAACTGTGCATCGCTATAAAACTATCGATATTATTTGATCAGTTAAAAATTTTCTTCAAGTTAAAAAATAGTTTTATTCATTTTGTGGAAACTTAATTTTTTGAATTTACGTCACTTTGAAATAAGGAACCGATTTATATTTCGACAGTCCAATTAGTCTAAAATGTCTGTAGCGTCTATGGCTGCGTGTTTCTGCTCAAAATGCGAGAGATAAGTAGGATAAAAAAAAACTTATAAATAAATCAGACTGTTAAAAGACCACCGCGCATAATGAATATCGATGCTGCTGCATGCATCTTACAAAAACAATATATTCGCGAGATTATTGTTTTCTCACGGCTCGAAATATCACACGAATGTGTTTAAGTTATAGTTTTTGCAAGTATAGAACCTTGTATAATTTTATTAATATACAAAAAATATACAAAATAAGGTATAAATGAATAAAACAGAAATTGTCCATTACTACGTTTAACGTAGAAACGTCGTATTTAGCGTGCTTTACTACGTGTAAGCACAACAAATTGGAGATTAAAGGGACGGAGATGCCGCGAAATACGGCGAAGACTTTTTATCTCGCGTGATCTCGTGGGCATCTCGTTTCGGCACTCGTTACTCAGCGAAAGAAAGTGCATTAATTTCCATCGGTGGACTTTGACGTACGCGAGAGAGATCCACTCCCAGCTATGACGTGGAGCATTTTGACTGTGACTGATGGCGCCTCATTTACCCTGCCGCGCGGTTTCCTGCACACCCGCTATGCGATTCTACACGCGCACGCATTTCTTTCGCTAACGCGCCCTTCCGCTCTTTTTTCCTCGACTTTCATGTATTTCGTCATGCCAACGCGATACTTTCACGATAACGGATAAGACAGTAGGTATAAGAAGCATCAGTACAGTAGCGTCATGGCTCGTTAACGATTTACACAGATCTGAATTTTAGTTTTTCCGAGAATTTCGAGTGAGAATGTTTTTGTCAGAAATTGGCAGTTTGAGTTTATTTTTATTTTAAATAACTCAACTTTTAAAGTCGTCCAAATTGATTGATTGTATATCTTGATTTATATTAAATTTTTTAAATAATTACATTGTTAATATCTCGTGAAAATAATTATGTTTGAACAAGTAACTTTTAACGAGGAAACTCGGGGAAATTAATTTGGATTTTCACGTATTTACGATTGAAAATGAAAACTCGTATGATCAGAATGCATTTATAAAATAGATGAAAGAGAAACGATGAAGGTGTACGTGCTCACAACAAACAACATAAAGGATAGTGTGATTTCAAGCTTAATTTCCCTAAGAAATCTTTTCAAATTATTTACAAATTTTTTGACGAATTTTTACTCTTGTTATGGGAAAAATGTCGACAAGAAAAATTATCATTTCTCTCACAAATGTTTCAATATAATATAAAAAAATCCTGAATATTATATTTTATATTATATGGTAAACACACGTCTCAAATAGAAATATTCAAAAATTGATTTAAAATTGTTTATTCGAAGTAATTAGTTTTCTGTAGTCCGTTTTCTCTACACTTGAGATTTACAAGAAAAAATATTATCGAAAATTTTGCCTTGCGAAAAATGTTGTCTTAAACGAAGATTTCTCTAAGAATCTAATCTAACGGATCCTTCATAGTACATCGAGAATATCCAAATATGAATTAATAAGTGCGAGACTGATAAGCGACATTAATACATTAATACGCGTACTTATTGTATAAGAGACAGCGCGAAACCTTTTGTAGAAATGACGGATTTCTACAGAAAAATTGGTTTTTTCCGTGAGGGAAACTTGAGACCCCAGGGGAAAGAGCGAGTCCGTAGCGTGCGGGTGTCGGCGCGGTGACGTCGTTGCGCGAGATGACGTTATCGAATGCAAAAGCCTCCGTTACACGGTTATCGAACACTTTTCACATTTTCCATCGCGCGCATCCGTCACGTCGGCGTCGCTCGCTCGCTCGCTCGCTCGCGCTACTGTACTTGTCGTAGGATAAAAATAGAGGCAAATATCGTCGCGGTTGTTCTTCGCCCGCAACAAGCACATTCACTTGTCGAAAGACGGTACGCACCCTTGGCGAGCTAACCGAGGCCGCGGATAAGTGTGAGACCTAAGACAGGCCGCACGGATGTTTTTGCGCTAAAACTTGGACGCGCGAGTGCAAGGCTATCAGACGTGCGAGAAAGAAGATCAAGTTCGGCCAAGGTTGAGAACCGTCATGGGAGCCTGGGTAATAAAATGAGGGCCCCTGCTCTCCCCTGGGGGTGGGGCCCCCTCGATAACCCATATTGTACCCCCCATCCCCTCGTTCTTCCCCCCTACGTTCGTCCCTCGCGCCGCCGCCCCTGGCCGTATATACTCCGATCGGCCGGAAGAGTTTTGTCCGGGCTCGTCGCGTCAGAGAGAAATCCTATCGAATCTATCTACGGGCGAGTCGCGTGCCCGAAATTTCTCAAAAATGGTGGTTGTACGGCGGAGAATTTTTGCAAATTTTCGATATACCGCGCGGTCACCTAGGCCACGGACTTGCCTGTGAAAAGGATTTTCGCGAGAAAATCGAGAGGTGGAGCGCGCCGACAATACTTTCGCGGCGGCGTATATACACGATCATATACCACCCCTAGTCTCCCCACACCCCCCTAACAACAGTGGGGTGGTACAGTCCCGGCGAAGAACCGACGGGCAACCCCGGCGTATAGTCCGCGCTGCCAGTTGGGACGGGAACGCGCGCGAAAAATCGCAAAAGTGAAGAATGGACGTTGGATGAAAAAGGCGGATTTCGGCGAAAAGGTCGATTCGCGACGAACGGGCGAAATTTTCCAAAAATTTCCTATTGAAACCTGATCTACTTCTATTCTATTTTCCATCTTACAAACACGCGAAAAGGATCTTCTACGTTTCGTTTCCAAGTTTCAAAATTATATACGCGATTGTTAAACGGTATTGTACAAATATAAATTCATTTACGAAATGGTACTTTTGGCCAAAGCAATGTTCAAATATATAATTTCATATTGGTTCCACGTACCACCGTGCGTGTAGTATAATTCCTTTCTGTTTTTTTTTTTATTTTAATATTTCGTGATTTTATTTATTTTTACGTAATACCATTCGCGTGTAAAACTGTAATATAAGATACATTTTTTCAAATTTATATATAAGACTAGCAGTTAGATTACATTCATTAACTGTATCAGCTTGAGCCTTGAAGAAAAGCACGATAAAGTTCAATATTTTTTCGTAGAGGATAAGATCTGCGTATTCAGCGAAGCATCATACATACAACTATGCAGTTTCTTCTGTATCTCATCGGTTTAACCCACCGCGTTAACCGTGTAGATGTTTGTCGAAGAGTTTTGGTGTTAATAATGTGAGATGAGAATCAAAAGGCAGCCGTAAGTCACAACCGTGCCTAGCCGGTGAGAATTCGGGGACAAGAGCGAGAATTTTGGGAGGAGATCGAGGACAGAGGAGAGGAGGAGGGAGCGAAGACACATCGGTCGCGGGCAGTCTCGAGAATGGTCGGTACGGCCGAATCGATGGAAAGAAATTTATTCGTCGCGAGCACTGGCGGTGGGTTTAAAATACGGCGTCGACGTTGAGACGCCACCACTGCCGCCGCCGCCGCCGCCGCCTCTCAGGGTAACGCCGCGTCGCGACGCGTTACCTGGTAACACCGTGGAATTACAACGGATTCTTTCTCGTCGCGCCCGGTATGCTGGAATCGGACTGGAATTCGCGGAGACTCTCGATGCCGAGCATTTTTTCGACGGCGGGCGACGTCGAGCCGGGGCGAGCAGGCGAAAACGCACCGCTGCGCGCTACCCGGTTATTACGACGCGCGTCCGAACGGACGGACAGAACGACTCGGCTCGAGCGTGGTGGACCTCTGCTTTTTTCCTTTCTCTCTCTCTCTCCCCTATGGCCTCTGGACAAATTGAATTTAACTCCGCCGCTAATACGGCCGCTCCGAAAAACGCGCGACCTGGACGCGCGAAAATCACGCCGCGATTTATGTCCGCGCCCTTTTTCCTCGCTCGCTGCTTATATATGGGATCGATTTCTTTCTACGTGACATTAGAGACACCATAATGCATTAATAGTGTAATTTCGATGAGTGCGTGTGAGGGTATTGCATAAAAGATCTTTCTTTTTTTCGGCAATTTTTCGAAATAATTTCAGAAAAAAACTGTAAATATACATGTATGTTAAAAATACAAAGAGTTGTGCGACATTGTGTTTTCTAAATTATTTGTTAATAATGTTAAAAATATATTTTGAATATTATTAACGTTTTAATATTTTAACGTTTTAATATTAAAAACATTGCGAAATATGTATAATATACCGTATGCCTTTTTTCACGCGAGCTTTTTTGTCGGCGTGGATTCAAGCGTCGTATTCGTCATACTTTTCTGTACGTTACCCCGCGACCATCGCAATTTTCGCTGTTATTAACTTGGGTGAATGAAAGTATACGGTACGTATGTATGAACGCCGCTTTTTGTTATTTCCTTGTCACTCGCGCGACATATAGTTTATGACAGACAGAGGGAACCAATTTTTATTGCGGGAATAATATTGAATTTCGACAGTTCGCCGTAGCGAGGACGCAAATGCGAATTTCTTGCACACTGTCGGAGAGGTGGTTTTTGTTCAAGACGAGAGAATTATCGGACGGAATATCAGACAGAATGGCCAAAACGTAGATCGAATTGTAAGAAAATTGCAAAGATATTATTTCGTATATATCCTACACTGAGAAAAGTTTGTGGTTGATAATGAACGAATCTGCAGCAGCTTTTGACCATATCAATCAAAATTCCATCATAATTGGACGTCTGGTTATCTTGACTAGAATTTTGATTGATATGATCAGAATCTACTTCGTCCATTTTCAACCAAACATTTTTTTCAATATAAATGGAACAAACAAGTCATAATGACGTTAGAATGATTATTAAAATTATTTCGATCACGATACATTTTAACGTCACTTTGATCATGATCTGTTATTCTGTTTCAATATTATATATTATTCGTTTGTCAATTGTATGACTCTTCAACTGATATCTAAAGAATTATATAAGTTAAAACATCACTGAATTGAATCTTACTTCGTCTTCTTTTTTAATATGTAAAAGTATATACAAGTATATATATATATATACATATATACAAGTATACATATATATATATATATATATATATATATATATAAGCACAATAAAAAACAGTTTAAGATGCAGAAATATTGGTCTCTCAATGATAGAAGTGAAATACTCGTAATTAGTATGAATTAAAAATGCGTGTGTGTTTAACTGCTATGTGACGAAATGAACTGTACCGCGACGGTTACCAAGATGGATATCCATCAATGTGTCAACAAATATATATTCTTTCATGACGAGAGAGGTTTTGCATAGGAATTTCTCAAATCATTACGGAAAGCAGGATTGGGCATGTATTTGAAATATTTTTATTTGAAAAACAGTATTGGTAAAACAATTATATTTTGTATTTTGTATTTCATGGAAGCATATAAAAGTATTTTGTATTTAATATTTCAGTATTAATAACTAAAATTATGAAAATATTTTGTATTTTGTATTTCAAATACTAACATTGATAATCAACCTTATTATTTGAATTACAAGATACAAAAAGCTTTTAATCTTTCGATTTTAAATACAAAATACGTAATACTTTTATGTGATCCGCTAAAATAAAAAATACAAAATACGCTTGTATTGCAAATAGTGTGTTTTAAATAAAATGTTTTAAATAAAATTTCAAATACATGCCCAGCCCTGACGGAAAGGATGATTTTGCTAAAGTATCTAAAAATTTAATTAGATACAGATCTGAAAATAATTTTGTTAGAGATTATCAAAATAATTATGTAGGACCAAATTAGTTATTAAAATGTTCAAACTTTTTACACTATTGCTCATAATGTTTGAGATTCCTATTTAATTATTTTAATGGACCAACAAAATTATTTTTAGATTTGTATCTGGCTAAATTTTTAGATATTTTATCCAAAAATTATTCTTTTCGTGTTCATATATATTCATTTAGTAAATAATATATCGATTTAATGATTATAAATACAAGAAAAATTATGAACAATTATTAATGGTTTATTAAAAGTTTTGTATACATTTATAGAAATGTAACGGAAATTTTGATAAATATTGTAGTCTGAATTGAATTTTTCAGACATTCCATAATATGTAGCTATAAATTTTTCTTGCATTGTTATTTGGAATTATTGTTAATTAATTTCTCTAAATCGGGAATGCGAAGTATCGAAGGGCGTTTTATTTTTTTATTATTAGATTTCAACCAACAATCTGTAGATGTTCGATAATATGCAATTCTGACATGCTAAAAAATACACTGACATCGGAATATTATAAGAAAAACTGTCAAATCCGTATTGTGCCGGTCAAAGGTTCGAATGATTAATGAGCAGTTAATTACCGTACTGAAATATGTATGACAAACGCTAAACTTTCGCGAGATTCGACAGTTTTGAGAATCGTGAAGCTAACCGAGAGGCATTAATTATATGACTCGTAAAACTTTCTCGATTTTTCATTCGCGACAAGCTTGAAGTTAATTCGAGGTAAATTCGATTCTCATTCGTTGACAAGTTTAGTGCGAACAAGAAAACACTGATTATGAAATGCACGTCTGCGAAGTTTGTCATTTTACGTTCACAAAGTCTCTTCACGACTGAAGTAATTACCGTATGCATTATTGGGAACATATTCGCGTTGGTGTATTCATTTGTGAATGCGAATGTTACAAATATATACAACTAAATTTTTGGTTGAAGCAATAATAAATGAATAATTAAATCGATAAGCGAATATCAAAAATAAAAGAAGGAATTTTATGTTCGATTAAAGTGGAGCTTGATGTTTAATAATATTCATAAATTTTCAAATACATTTTTCAATTCTATAATCCGTATGTCGATTCGGTTTATTGAACTTAAAACTCAATCATAAACTGAAGTTATCTTAAATAGAACCATAAGTTACATTGATTGTCAATTTAACCTTAATCGGTATTTTCTCGCTTCGAAATTTCCTTAACTGGTATTCATAGGTTCAGTATACTTTAAATTAATATATCATTGCTTAAAGTTAACGTAATTGTGAACAACCTTTTTTTAATTTTGAAGGTCAAAATTCGAGGAATGTGATTATATAACTTGAAATTATGCAAGATTGTGAAAAACGTTTGAAGGTCAAAATTCGAGGAATGTGATTATATAACTTGAAATTATGCAAGATTGTGAAAAACGTTTGTTATATAAACAATTTTTTACATAGTCGAAGAAAATCCACAGGAATATACTGATTAGAGCTTGAATTGGAGAGTTAATAATAGTGCTAATAAGCATCTTAAAACAAAAAATGTTTGCAAAAAATATATCCAAATATAAAGGACCCCGCACGTTTCTTATGGATTTTGCTTCTCGGTTAAATCTTCTCGTATTCTGAGAAATTGTAATTCCAAGTGTCCTGATTAAAAATGTCAATGGGCGCAACCTCCTAAAGTTAACAGTTAACAATTTTTTCTTGGTCCCACATGATCCTATAGACTTAAAAAAATACCTAGATGGATCTTATAACATGTGAAATAAGACTGTCATAGTTGTATTTCACTTCGCAATCTCAATTGTGGCTAAAAATAAACAATGAGTAATGTCATATGAATAAAGTTAGTGTGCATACATTTTCCGACTTTTAACATTACCCAAGTTGAGTAGCAGTGGGAAGAATCGTGTGGAACGTGCTGCCGTTGAATCGAATCGGTACAATGGTCATTGGAAAAATCCGGGTTCTATTAATGATAATACTTATCATTATTTTACTTATTATTATTTTTAGCCACAATTGAGATCGCGAAGCGAAATGCAATTGTGGCAGCCTCATTTCGCATGTTATATCTAGGTATTTTTTCCAAGCTGTAGGATCATATGGGATCGAGATTGTTTATATCGCCCATATCCGAAATAATAGAATTAAGTTTGAACAGTTATACCTCGAAAATTGTTAATTTTAGGAGATCGCGTTCATTGACACTTTTAATCAGGACACTTGGAACTACAATTTCCCAAAATATGAGAAGATTTTACCAAGAACCAAAATCCATAAGAAACGTGCGGGATCCTTTATCCAAAATCTACACAGTAACAAACATTTTGTATTTATATGAGAAACGATTCACTCAAGTCCTTATTAAAATTCTGTATTGGATTTATAATATATCTGTGTGTGAGTGTGTTAATTTAACATAATTATTATTTAAATATTTTGTGTTATATTAATATTCATTATTTTTTATTTTTTATTTTTTAGTGTTAAAATAAAACCATTCATATATAAGTGAACAAATTACACAAAAATAACATTTTTTTAAACGTAAATTCTAAGATAAATGAATATAACATGTGTTAATTTAACATATTATAAGTTAATTCTAATGAAGAAATATGATTGCTTATAAACTGTGTAGTTATTACTTCTTTTTTATTAATTCTTTACATAATATAATATCTGTGTTACTTTCTAACTTATTCATCTTGTGTTAAATTAACACAAAAATTTAAATGGACCGTTTGGAAAACGTGTTAAATCTTACACAAATTTTCTAATTGCAAGATTTATGCGATGTAATATGAAAATTGCACTTCTGCCACCTTCTGTGAACGCATATTGCATATATCGTGCACGTGCACGCCGGAACAGATTACACATATTACACGTGTATCGAAGCGCATGTCATTCACGTTAGATCTATGACAGTCGAATTTCATATCGCGTGCGCAAATGCTGATCTCATCGTGTCGCTAGAATGATTTCGTGAAGCATATAGACCCGTTGCGATGCGATCGAGCTGCGGTTCGTAACCCCAGAAGGCATTTTTCTTTCCTAGCTGCTTCCGCACATTATTGAATATCGTCTATTTGTCGAGTAACGTCTTCTTGCTCGTTCCGCCACGCTTATCGCGTCACTGTTTCGCTGACTTTTCCGTTCTATTCTATCTCGGCCTCCCTCCGTCCGCGTCCGGGCCGAGGCGCACTTGCCAGAAATATCAATTTGCGCGGGAGTGGTAACAGTTTGCTTGATTTGGCACGGCGTAGCTTACGTCCGAAATAAATCTTCGCGAGTGCAGTGTCGAGGACGGTGCCCGCCCCGGAAACCGATTGTCTATGCGGATTTGACATGAGTGGCGCACTCGTCCCAGCTTTGTGGACGATATCTCATTTTCGATTTGCATCTTATTTATTTTCAACTGGTTGAAAATTTCGATTAAAAAAAAAACAGATAATGCGCTTTCTACGCTCTATGAAAAACTACTTACAATTAGAGTTCTATTTGATCGGTCTCCTTAAACTTGCTAAGACCATAAGACGGGACTCTGTCGTTATGCTAAGGCCGCGTTTATGTAAAATTAGAAGCTGCTCATTGACAAGCGCGACAGTAGAAGTGCATAATAAATTAAAACGTGCGACAATGAGCGTCCTGTCTCTCGCGTGAAAGTAAACGTGCTTAGAAAACAATTCACGTCGTAGCGTGTATTGATATTTTGGAACGTAAGTTCCTATAGTAATGTCATTAGATATTTTATTTCAGAAGATTTTCTTAGTACTGCTTTTCCAATACTTGTCAGACTTTTTTTATGTGTACTTGTTTAATTTAATTATCAATTCTTCTTCTAGAATTACTAAAGTAAATTAATTTTTAAGTTTTATCGACGGGATATAGATATTGGCACAGTGATAGAAAAAACTTAGAGAAATGTAATTCTATACAAAAATAATTACAAAGTGATATGTTACCGGAAATAACGAAACGTTTATTAATTATAATTATCTACTTTTTGTCTTTTCTTATTGCACTTTGGAAATGAAAATCATTTTGCAACGTCATTAAAGGATTTTCGTATATGCAATATTGGAGGAATACCGTTTTACTAACATAAAAGTTTTATTTAACTATGTATAATTGTGGATTATATTTTTTATGACAAATACAAGAAAGAACACAAATAAATGAAGGAAGCCTTATTTGGTCAAAGCGGATCTTGAAATCTAATAATATTTTTTTGAATTTTGTAATTTTCCGTTTATGCAAACTGCGTGCCGATTATTTGTCGGTCTTGAAACGCAGTTCTACACTAAAATTCAAGTACGCAATATCACAAATTAAATTGACAAGCAATTTAATAATATTGATGTTAATGAACATCTTTAAACACTGTAAAGAATTTGTTTAAATATGAGATTGTTATTCTTTACAAACAATATTAAGTGAAATAAACTTGAGATGTATTTAAACACAAATAGAAGAATGTGTCACACTCGGCCAAAGCGAATCTAATTGGTGCTTAGGAATATTTATATGTGAATATATAAATACAATTAGCAGTTCTATATAGACTGTGCGACAATTCAGTTTGTCGGATTTGGAATACAATCATGATCTGAAATAATAATCTCATAATTAAGTTAATTGATCGTTGATTTAATAATAATGCAACTATCATCCATAAAAACCTGTAAATAACTTGTTATGAGAAATATCATCTCAGTAGGTATTCGAATTTGAATTACTTGAATTCGTCTTTCGAATTCGTCTACCGAGCATGTCATGATATATACATACATATATGTATGTATATACGAGTATATATAAACTAGCAAAGCCAGTATATGTGGAAGAATCTTTTTCAGGCGACGTGAGATAAACAATATTATTTTGTACAAATCCTATCACACATAATGCACATCTGTTTTAGATTGAGTCGCTTCGTTTTTTTAAAGTCCGTCAGACTGCGCATCGGAAATTGAGGATTATGAATTTAAGATTAAAATTTAACCAATCAGATAATTTTATTTTTAATCCGTTTCATTTTAATTGGTTGAATTCTAATCTTCAATTCGTAATTCTCAATCTCCAATGCGTAGTCTGATACGGGTTCAAGATTTATCGAACGAACAATCTCAGTCGATAACGGAGTAGCGATTCATGATGCCCGCAGCCTTCTCCGAAATCGCGGTTGTTACAAAAGCGACTGATGACGGCGGCTTTTCGCGTGTAAGAAAAGCCGACGAGAGACCACACGCGGGAAAATAATAACAAGAGGAGTGCCTGCGGGGTTTAGGTGTAGGTGGACCAGGCAGGGAGACGAAGGGAGATAGTGGTGGATGCATAATTGAATGAAAGCGTGGCGAACAGAGCCAAGGGGTAGTTCCTACGACTGGGAGGGGGTGGAATGCTATAATTTCAAGCCAGACAGTCATGCGTTATTCAGCGTTGAGGTACAAGCTCTCGTTCTCTCTCTCTCTCTCTCTCTCTCTCTCTCTCTCTCTCTCTCTCGTCTTTGCATTTTCTATACGATTCTCTGAAGAGGAGAAAGTACGTACCTCCTCTTCTCTCCTTTTCATTTTGTCGCACTTCGAGATCTCCTAATTCTCTGCCTAATTCTTGATCGTTTGTTCGTTGTCCATTAGCGTTTCCAATTCATAACTTGTGAAATAAATTGATGCGATAATAATCAATACAATGACATCAAAATATGCACGCCGAAGACAAAATTCCCAAAGCCTTTACACAGCACTCAAACTATTCCTTTCTTTGTTTATTATATTCAGGATAGTGACAACATCTGGTGGGAGTCCTTTGCAAACGAGTTCTTCGAAGAAGACGCCACCCTTACCCTCCATGTCTGCTTGGAAGATGGACCGAAAAGATATTGTGAGTATCTCCTATTATTTGATCCCAATTTACCTTTCGTGCAATCGGCAGTGCAAATTCGGAAAGAAATATTTAAAAATGTGTTATACGTAATAAAATTAGGCAGAACCTAACTATTACATTTTACTTCTTGCCAATATCATTGTACGGAATTTTATTTTTAATTAATAAGAAAGAAGTTGGTTTCTTTCGGCTCGTAAATCGTAATCATATCTAACCCAAGAATCTGTCACTACGAATAATGCACGAAAGAACGCGACGTTTTTTCTAAAAAGTATCTAAAAATTTAGTTATTATTACTGATCTGAAAATAATTTTGATAGTTCAAAATTGTTTTCATCAGATTAGTATTTGGCTAAATTTTTAGATATACAACGTTGAACTATTAAAATAATTATTTAAGACGATCAAACTTGCTAGAATATCAAAATTTTTTCAGCATTGCTCATTACATTCAAGTAATTATTTTGTCGATCCAACAAAATTACTTCCAGATCTGTATCTAGTTAAATTTTTAGATATTTCAGCAAAATCATTCTTTCTGTGTGTGTGTGTGTGTGTGTGTGTGTGTGTGTGAATAATACAGTACACGAGTGAAGTATCTTTATTTTCATGAAAGGAAAAGAAATTGCAAAACGAAAAGGTTGAATTGCAAGCAAATATGTTTTTTTAGAAGCAAAATAATAAACTGTGGAGTGGAGTTACTATGATATCTATATGCTTCTGCGTTTAATGTGATCGATTTTCTCTAGATAATTTCCGCGAGATAATTCCTTACATCTTTGCGATATCACGGTTCACACATTGTCACTGATACTTAATCGCTGCCAAGCTCGTGCGGTGCCACCTCTGTTCTAAATAATGACGTGCCACCGCGCGGCAATCTTGCAGTCGGTGGATTTTAATGTCTGTTCCGCACCACCGTCTCGAAAATATACGACGACAATGTGATTACATGTCGTGTGGATGCATGTCGTCGTCATCCGAGTATAAATGACAGGGCATCTGCGCAGTAAGATGCGCTGGAACGACCGAACGAGTCCGGTGATGCAAAATGCGTTTTGCAATTAAAGAGAAAAAAAAAGATATTTTTCATTCGCTTGTGTTTGTCCGCCAACGTTACATTTTTTTCGGTTTATATTTACGTCGCTTCTTAATAAAATTTTATTCGTTCTTCGTGACAGTTATAAGATGAAACATTTTTGAAAATTAGACGCGACAGTTTGTTGTAGAATTAAACATTGAAATTTAAATTTAAAAAAAAAGACACTTTGCTTTATTTAGCTATTCGCGAAGATACTAATTTTGCAGAGGTGAATGTTATCGCGGAGAATATTGCGCCCAACATAGAGCAACATCGACCGATTTAAGATAGAGCTGTCGATCTTAATCGTCGCTCTGCTTTCCTCACAACGTGTTCGTTGTATTTGTTTCTAATCGTTTCCATCTTATCCTTTCAGCGATAGGAAGGACGTTAATACCCAGGTACTTCCGTTCGATATTCGATGGTGGAGTGACGGAACTTTACTATACTTTGAGGAATCAGAAGGAATCGTTTCACAACACCAGCATAACGCTGGACTGTGATCAGTGCACAATGGTCACGCAGTATGGAAAGCCGATGTACACTAAGGTACGAATATTCTGCAAAATTTATTGCACTTGCAGTAGAAAATTATATGTTTCAGATTATCAGTATTTATGTACTTAATTGTTGAGTTAAACAAAAATAACTGGAATGATTGAAATAGATAAAAAAAATAGTCGTGATCGACAATATACAAATGACTAGAAAAATTTATATAATATATACTTTTAGTAGATAGATTATATCACTATAAAAACTGCTGAGTGCTGGTATTCTTGTGAGTTGGCACAATTAGAAAAGTTAATTGTTCTTTTCTTGAAAAAAGAGATATCATAAAGATAGGAAGGATTAAAGTTTAATTGGATCTCCGTAATTTCTGTAAAACTGTTTCCTAGCAGGAAGCTTAAGTCCTGCGGAACTCTCTTCAGGGCGACGGGCGAAATCAAGCGCCCTTGAAATAGCCGAAGTGAATATTGTCATCCGAAAACTTATTTTAGGTGTTAACGGAGGGTAGGTTAATATTGGAGTTCACCTTCGACGATCTCATGAGGATAAAGTCGTGGCATATGTCGGTGAGGACGCATCGAGAACTGGTTCCGAGGAGCGTTGTCAGTATGCAGCAGGACCCGACAATGCTTGAGCAGATTAGCAAAAACATCACTAGGCAGGGCATGTCCAACTTCACTCTCAACTACCTTAGAGTACGTATCTTCCGTACTGCATGCGCTGTCTTAATTTTACGTTGATTTTTATGCATCAGTGCCAGATTGACCGCATTTTAATTGAATTGAAATTTTCTTGTTTTATTAACCCGAGAATAATCACTTAATTTTTTTCACGGTCACCTATCATTTTTACACTCCAATTAAGTCACTATTATTAATTGTATATTGTGTATTTTGATTATTTTACAATTTATTAATATTTGTGAGTTCATTATACATTATAGATTTACTTTTATGATTTCTGAAAAAAGTAAGAAGAAACAAAAATAAATAAGTATAAATTCCTAATCAGTACAGAAAACTGAATTACTAAGCTTCATTTTCTTGCTACTAGGTGTAAAATCATCTCGATGCCTGTATTTTGTAACTTTTAATCTAACAATTAGTTTTACTGCCATTGCGCAGTTTTTTTATTTATCACATATAATATATGGCAATGACAATATGATGATATCGACACTATCGTTAAGAGTTACAAAATACAGATACAGCTGAGTATTCCGGGTTAAACTACGTTTTTTTTATTAAATTTAGTATAAATGAACGCAAAGACTTCTAGAACAAACATTTAGAGTGACAAACACAAATTTGGAGTAAAAAGAAGAAATATGGCATAATTACATGTGCTCATTTAGATAAATGTGTGCGAATCATTGTACGTGCCAAAACACGAGGAAGGGATATTTTGTTGTATATTGTTTTCTAACGGAAAAAAGTATCGACCGGGGACATAGTACTTAGTTGGAAAATTATATTGCAGCAAGGTGTGTCGGTGCGGGGCTAGATCGGAACACGGCATATCCTGCCTTCTCGAAAGTATCTCCGGCTATCCGGGTTACGAACCACCTTCTTTCCGCGCTCGGAAGCGCTTTCACCGGGGGAGGGGGACGGCCTCCGATGCATTCCGCGTGTATCGTCTCGAGTCAGTTGAAAAGCCCGTCGATTGTTACGTCGGGAAAGTCTTCGCCCATTGTTGAACTGGTATACGATGTTCGGAAACGCGTAGGAACCGTCTCGAATAATTTCTCCACACGGGTGAAGACTCGCTGACGATGAAAATGGGCTTCAGTTGATTTATGGATAGATGAATATATCGTCGTCGCGCAGAACTCCAGTTGTTTTTCTTAAAGTGATAGTTATGTTACTCATCTTTTATACTTGCTGCGTAACGTGATGTAACGATATTATTCACTGTATAGAAAATGTATAGAACGCAAATAAGTTTCCGAAAATATGTACAAAACGAATCGGCAGAAATAAAAAAACTTATATATTTTCTATGAGCTTTCACAACACACAAAGAAGTTTTGTTTAATTTGCATTAAATATTTATTAGAGTGTTATAGAAACTTGTAGGAATTGTCTAAATTTTTTGTTATATATAATATTTGTTCGTACATTCAAGTTTAATCCTCCGGAGCTAACGATCGGTCTGTTAGAGGAAAGAGGACCCACCCAATTATAAATCTTTGTCAAAAATGTCAAATAATTCATTCTTTATATTATCCGCAAGTTTGCATTATTTTTATTGAAATAAACTTAGAAATTCATTCTTTTTTATACTAGTTATATCATTTTGGTTCATCGAAATTAGTTCCTTTTAATTAACATAAATTGAATAAAGTATTA